CCATCTAAAACCCTGCGGTTTCCTATACGTTTTCAAATCACACTTAATACTTGCTTTCACACTGAAATTGTCACTTTTCATGCAATTAAACCTGCAACGTGCATTGTCGTGCTGCAAATTAATGTCTATCTCTGTCTGAATCGGAAAACGCCTTCTCTCTTTTTTATTGTTTTTGTTTTGCTTGTTCACTTTTCGTTATATTTTTTTGTGTTTGTTTGTTTGTTTGTTGTGTGTGTGTGTGTGTGTGTGTGTGTGTGTGTGTGTGTGTGTGTGTGTGTTGTGTGTGTGTGTGTGTGTGTGTGTGGTGTGTGTGTGTGTGTGTGTGTGTGTGCCTGTGTGTGTATGCGTTTCTGTGTGGTTGTGTGTGTATGTGCGTTTCTGTGTTAGTGTGTGTGTGTGTGTGTGTGTCTGTATCTGTCTATGTGTGTGTATATCTATCTATGTGTATCCGTATGTACCTACATACCTGTGTGTTTCTGTGTGTGTGTGTGCCTGTGTGTGTATGCGTTTCTGTGTGTGTGTGTGTGTTTCTGTGTGGTTGTGTGTGCATGTGCGTTTCTGTGTGAGTGTGAGTGTGAGTGTGTGTGTGTGTGTGTGTGTGTGTGTGTGTGTGTGTGTGTGTGTGTGTGTGTGTGTGTGTGTGTGTGTGTGTGTGCGCGCGCGCGTGCGCGTGTCTTTCTGTATCTGTCTATGTGTGTGTATATCTATCTATGTGTATCCGTATGTACCTACATACACGTGTGTCAGACGAGGGAGTCCAACTTTACCTTTATTCCTGAGTTTTATCATATTTGCCAATTAAAACGGAGGAAATTATGCAGGCAGCTTGCTCGTGGTGTTGGTAACTGTGCGTGACAGGGGGAGAGGGAGGGGAGGAGGGAGGAGGAGAGAGGAGAGAGAGAAAGAGAGGAGAGAGAGAGAGAGAGAGAGAGAGAGAGAGAGAGAGAGAGAGAGAGAGAGAAGAGAGAGAGAGAGAGAGAGAGAGAGAGAGAGAGAGAGAGAGAGAGAGAGAGAGAGAGAGAGAGAGAGAGAGAGAGAGAGAGAGAGAGAAGAGAAAGAGACAGAGCGCGAGAGAGAGAGAGAAAGAGCAAAGAGATACAGCGAGAGAGAAAGAGCAAACGCAAGAGACAGCAAGAGAAAGGCATAGGAAGAAAGATCACCAAGGAGAGAGAGAGAGAGCGAGCGAGAGAGAGAGAAACGGGAGAGAGGATAAGCAAGAGAGAGGAAACAGACAAAAAGAGACCGCAGGAGAAGATCAAGGGGATAGAGACAGCAAGAGAGAGATTGAAGAGAAAGACTGCAAGAGAAGATTGCGAGAGAGATACAGTGAGACAGAGACAGCAAGCGAGAGAGAGGGAGAGACAGCGAAATAGATATCGCGAGAGAGAGAGAGAGCGAAAGAGAGAGATAACTAAAGAGAAACTGTGAGAGAAAGACTTCAAGAGAAAGAGAGACAGCGATAATCAGAGAAGAGAGAGGACGCGCGCGCGCGAGAGAGAGAGAGAGCGAGAGAGGAGAGAGACGAGAGAGAGAGAGAGAGAGAGAGAAGAGAGGAAGCGAGAGCGGAGAGAGAGAAAAGAGAGAGAGAGAGAAAGAAAGAGAGAGAGGAGAGAGAGAGAGAGAGAGAGAGAGAGAGAGAGAGAGAGAGAAGAGAGAGGGAGAGAGGAGAGAGAGAGAAGAGACAGCAGAGGAGAGAGAGAGGAGAGAGAGAGAGAGAGAGATTGCGCGCGTGGAATAATAATTCAATTAACATAACATGGACTACGCGGATTATGGAATATTCCGTCGTGTGTAAAAGCAATCAAACGTGGATATTGCCAATAAACATATCCCAATGTACCCCCCCCCTTCCCCTTCCCCCTCCCTGTCTCCCGGTCCCACGCGTCCCTTCCCTCCTCCCCTCCTCCTCCCTCTCCAGTCTCCCTCTCGTCTCCCTCAACCATCCCTTTCCCCTTCCCTCTCCCCTTTCCCCTTCCTCCCTCCCTTCCCGTCTCTCCTCTCCCCTCCTCCCCCTCCTGCCTTCCACTCTCTCCAGTCTCCCTCTTTCTTCCTCTCCCCCTTCCCCTGCATCTCCCCCACCTTCCCTTCCTTTTCCTCTCCTTCCCCTCCCCTCTTCCTAGTCTCGCCCTCTCGTCTCCTTCTCACCATCCCCTTCCCTGCTCCCTCCCCTCTTCCCGTTTTCCTCTTTCCCTCCTGCCCTACTCCTTCTCTTCTCCCTCTCTCTCTAGCCTTCCCTTTTTCTCCTTACCCTCTCCTATTCAAATCCTTTTCCTCCTCTCCCAAATTCTTCCCACTTATCATCTCGTCTCCCTCTCCCAACTCCCCCTCCCTCCTTTCTCCCCCTCCCCTCCTCCCTCCCCCATCCCATATCCCCTCCCAACCCCTTTCAATCTTCCCCCATACTCCCCTCCCTTCTCCCAATTCCCCTCCTCTCCCCTCCCTCCCTCTCCCAATTCCCCCTTCCTTTTCCCCTTTTCCCTTCTCCTCTCCCCTCGTCCTCTCCCTTCTCCTTCCCCTCCTTATATCCCCTCCCCTCCCTCTCCCTGCTCCCTCCCCTCCACTCTCCCAATCCCCCCCTCCCTCTCCCTCTCCCCCCAATTCCCCCCTCCTCTCCCCTCTCCCACTCCCTCCCCTCTCACAATTCCCCCTCCCTTCCCTCTCCAATTCCCCCCCTCCTCTCCCCTCTCCCCTCCTATTCCCTCCCCTCCATCCCTCCTCACCCCTCTCCCTCCTCCCCTCCCCTCTCCCTACCCTCACCCCCCCTCCATCCCTCCTCTCCCTCCCTTCCATCCCTCTCACCCCTCTCCTCCTCCTCCCCTCCTCCTTACCTCTACCTCACCCCCCCCCCCATGCCTGCAGGGACATATTTTTTTATTTCATATCGTTTTTTTTTTTTTTTTGGCGACCTACTCCCTTTGCTGTCTATTTTGGCATGAGAATAATTTCATAAAGACTTGTTTTTTTATATTTCATTTTTTTTTCTCGTTTCATTTCATTTAAACGATATCTCTCTTATTTCGATGTATTGATGCATTTGAGAGGAGTGAAGTTGACAGGCATGACAAAACAATTTTTGGATAGATGGTTCACGTTGTTTACATACATATACATAGGCGTGTGCACACACACACAACACACACATACACATACACACGCACACACACAACACACACACACACACACACACACACACCACACACACACACACACAACACACGACACACACACACACACACACACACACACACACACACATATATATATATATATATATATATATATATATATATATATATACATATATTATATTATAACTTATATATATATATAATATACACACACACACACACATACACATAACGCCATCCCACACCACACACATACCACACCACGCACAAGTAACACACACCCATCACACACACAAACACACACACACACAGCACACTCACACACACAACACGCGCGCGGCTGACCCGCCGGGCCGGCGCCACTCAACTACACACACACAGCACACACACCACTACACGACCAGCCTGCTCATGCTGTTCACTCACCCAACAAACACCACCACCACTACAATCGAAACACAGCGAGCACATACCTGTACCCAATATCAGACACACACACACACCTAGCACACCCACACCTATAAATTATTAGTGACCTACCGCTTTATGCTGACCACTGTATTAGCGCCTCATGTACGCATAATGTAAAATAATCACCCCATACCTATATATATCAGTAACCTATATAGATCACGTCGCCTAGCCACCACATCCTTCCCAAGCCCTGTGCTACTTATATATATATTATGTGTGTATATATAACTTTTATATATATTATATCGTCATTACGACGATTTAATACTATAGGTATCCATAGTATTAAATATACAATATATATATATTATATATATATACACACAACACACACCATATCTATCTATCTCTCTCGTCTCTGCGTCTGCTATCTCTCCTCTCTCTCTCTACTACTCTCTCTATCTCTCTCTCTCTACTCTCTCTCTCTTTCTCTGCTCTCTCTCTCTCTCTCCTCCTTATATAATAGTAGTTATCCATGTATATATATATATATACTAGTATATACCTATATATATAAATAAAATAGATAGTAGATAGATAGATATGACTAGAATAAGAATAGAATACGAGTATGATGGATATATTATATAATATAGTAACAACTTGATATCATAGTTAGTAGTTATATAGGTTATATTTATATACGTACTCTATAGATATATATTACATACGACACACACACAATAACAATCCCTTCCTCTCCCTCTCTATCCCTACCCAGCCCTCCCTTCCCTCTCTCTCACCATCCTCCCTCCCTCGCCTCCCTCCTCTCACCAATCCCTCCCTCCCTCGCTCCGTCCTCTAGAGCTCACCCTCCCTCCGCTCGCTCCCTCTCTCCTTTCCCTCTCTCTCACCATCCTCGCTCCCTCTCTCCTTCCCTCTCTCTCACCATTCACCTCCCTCCCTCGCTCCCTCTCTCCTTCCCTCTCTCTCCACATTCCCTCCCTCCTCGCTCCGTCCCTCTCACCATCCCTTCCTCCCTCGTTCCGTCCCTCTACCATTCCCTCCCTCCCTCGCTCCTTCTTTCCTTCCCTCTCTCTCACCATCCCTCCCTCCCTAGCTCCCCTCTCTCCTTCCCTCCCTCCCTCGCTCCCTCTCTCCTTCCCTCTCTCTCACCATCACTACCTCCTCCCTTCCTGCTTCCTTCTCTTTTTCCCCTTTTTCTTTTGTTTCCGCCCTCCCACCATCCATTCTCTCCCTTTCCCGCTCCCACTCCCTCCACATCCTCCTCCACTCCCCCTTCCTCTTATCCCTGTCTCCTCCCTTAATCCCACACCCGCCCTTTCCCTTCACATCCTTTGACCCTCCTTCCCCTCATAATCTCCCTCCTCCCTCCTTCTTCCCTTCTCCATTTCCCTGTCTCCCTCCCTTCCTCCTTCTTCCTTCTCTCTTTCCCTG